TGTCTAGTTCTGTTCTAGTTCTGTTCTAGTGTTCTAGTTCTGTTCTAGTTCTGTTCTAGTTCTGTTCTAGTTCTGTTCTAGTTCTGTTCTAGTTCTGTATTTCTTTCTGTTCTAGTTTTTTTTTTTTTTTTTTTTCTGTTCTAGTTCTGTTCTAGTTCTGTTCTAGTCTGTTCTAGTTCTGTTTTCTGTTCTAGTTCTGTTCTAGTTCTGTTCTAGTTCTGTTCTAGTTCTGTTCTAGTCTGTTCTAGTCTGTTCTAGTTCTGTTCTAGTTCTGTTCTAGTTCTGTTCTAGTTCTGTTCTGTTCTAGTTCTGTTCTAGTTCTGTTCTAGTTCTGTTCTAGTTCTGTTCTAGTTCTGTTCTAGTTCTGTTGTTCTGTTCTAGTTCTGTTCTAGTCTGTTCTTGTTCTAGTTCTGTTCTAGTTCTGTTCTAGTCTGTTCTAGTTCTGTTCTAGTTCTGTTCTAGTTCTGTTCTAGTTCTGTTCTAGTTCTGTTCTAGTTCTGTTCCAGTTCTGTTCTAGTTCTGTTCTAGTTCTGTTCTAGTTCTGTTCTAGTTCTGTTCTAGTTCTGTTCTAGTTCTGTTCTAGTTCTGTTCTAGTTTGTTCTAGTTCTGTTCTAGTTCTGTTCTAGTTCTGTTCTAGTCTGTTCTAGTTCTGTTCTAGTTCTGTTCTAGTTCTGTTCTAGTTCTGTTCTAGTTCTGTTCTAGTTCTGTTCTAGTTCTGTTCTAGTTCTGTTCTAGTTCTGTTCTAGTTCTGTTCTAGTTCTGTTCTAGTTCTGTTCTAGTTCTGTTCTAGTTCTGTTTTAGTTCTGTTCTAGTTCTGTTCTAGTTTTGTTCTAGTTTTGTTCTAGTTTTGTTGTAGTTTTGTTGTAGTTCTGTTCTAGTTCTGTTCTAGTTCTGTTCTAGTTCTGTTCTAGTTCTGTTCTAGTTCTGTTCTAGTTATGTTCTAGTTATGTTCTAGTTCTGTTCTAGTTCTGTTCTAGTTCTGTTCTATTCTGTTCTAGTTCTGTTCTAGTTCTGTTCTAGTTCTGTTCTAGTTCTGTTCTAGTTCTGTTCTAGTTCTGTTCTAGTTCTGTCTAGTTCCTGTTCTAGTTCTGTTCTAGTTTCTAGTTCTGTTCTATTCTGTTCTAGTTCTGTTCTAGTTCTGTTCTAGTTCTGTTCTAGTTTCTGTTCTAGTTCTGTTCCAGTTCTGGTTCTAGTTCTGTTCTAGCTTTAAAACACAAAACACGTTTTAATTTTAAACTGTAGCTCTCTGTAGAGCTTTAAGTTTTGACTTAATTTCGGATAAAACAAGCAAAACTTTAATATTTATCTTCGTTTTAATTTGGCTGCCTTCATCAACAAATATATACGAAATGGAAAAGAAAACGGGGGGTGAGACAGGGTACAGCTGATATTTGTATATCTATAAAAAACACGACATATATTTATTTACAGGGCCCAGTCAAGTGTATAGTAATTACTAAAGCAGATTATATTAACAGACATTAATACTTTCTTCCTTTTCCCTTTATTTAAATCCATAGTACAGACGAATATATTGGATGATATACGAATGTTTGATAAGAAAAAATACATTATAATAAAGAAAAAATAATGCAAGAGAGAAAAATTTATTTTTAATTACTTATCGTTATGTATAGGAAAATGGAATTTTAAGAAAAAATTTTTATAAGTTAAACATATTGTTATAAATTAATAAAAACAAATATGAAGAATATAATAAAGGTGTTGAATTAAATTAATAAGATTTTTTAATAAGATTAAATAAAGTTTCATTATTTAAAAAGACTTGTAAAAAAATATAATTTAAAAGATTTGGCTGTAAAAAGGTTAATTTTTCACTCATTGGGAGCTCAGCTGGGAGCTTTAAAGAGAAGAAAAGTAGAAAGAGAGAGAAAGCTTAACTTACTTTTAATACTGTGCCTATATCTGTTTTAAATAGTATAGATTTTCCTTAACTCACAACCTTGTTTTCTAAAACTTAACCTTGTAAAATAAAAATCAATTTTTTTTTTTCAAAAAGGACGACTTTTAAAACACCCTCTTTTTTCTATGCCTAGAGCTAAGTAATAAAACTTTTTGTCATCCCCCCACACTTTCCTGCAATGAATTTGCTATGGTAGCTTCTTTTAAAAGAAGAAATATATGAGATTTTAAGTTTTTAGCTAAGCAGGATGCAAGAACATTTAAAAACTTATTAAATTGCTATAATTTATAACATTTTATCTGTTACTTTTATACTAATATACAAAGGACAAAAGGGGGGTGTAGGATTTTGTCTTATGGAAAATACACAACTTTACTTCAACAATAAAATAGATATTGTGGAAAACAAGACAATAGAAAATTTATATATTTATTATAATTTACGGAAACTCGTTAGTTTAAGTTTTGTTTCGTTTTACTCTCTTTCTCTCTCCCATGCTGTAATGCTTTTTAAAATAACGGAAATGTAAAAATTCAGAGAAAATTAATTGCAAAAAAGCACTTTTAAACCTTTTGTTGTCCTAAAAATTTAATCTGGCAACTTTGTATGCAGAGTTGTTTTTTATGGCTTAAACGAAAGTGAAGTTAGCTGCAAAAGAGAATAAGCTCCGACAGAATAGTCTAGTATATGTACATACAGACTGGACTATAGACTAGACTATAGACTAGACTATAGACTAGACTATAGACTAGACTATAGACTAGACTATAGACTAGACTATAGACTAGACTATAGACTAGACTATAGACTAGACTATAGACTAGACTATAGACTAGACTATAGACTAGACTATAGACTAGACTATAGACTAGACTATAGACTAGACTATAGACTAGACTATAGACTAGACTATAGACTAGACATAGACTAGACTATAGACTAGACTATGGACTAGACTTAGACTAGACTATAGACTAGACTATAGACTAGACTATAGACTAGACTATAGACTAGACTATAGACTAGACTATGACTAGACTATAGACTAGACTATAGACTAGACTATAGACTAGACTATAGACTAAACTATAGACAACTAGACTATAGACTAGACTATAGACTAGACTATAGACTAGACTATAGACTAGACTATAGACTAGACTATAGACTAGACTATAGACTAGACTATAGACTAGACTATAGACTAGACTATAGACTAGGACTATAGACTAGACTATAGACTAGACTATAGACTAGACTATAGACTAGACTATAGACTAGACTATAGACTAGACTATAGACTAGACTATAGACTAGACTATAGACTAGACTATAGACTAGACTATAGACTAGACTATAGACTAGACTATAGACTAGACTATAGACTAGACTATAGACTAGACTATAGGACTAGACTATAGACTAGACTATAGACTAAACTACAGACTAGACTATAGGCTAGACTATAGATTAGAGTATAGACTAAACTATAGACTAGCTTAGAGACTAGACTATAGACTAGCTTATAGACTAGACTATAGACTAGACTATAGACTAGACTATATATTAGACTATAGACTAAACTACAGACTAGACTATAGGCTAGACTATAGATTACAATATAGACTAGACTATAGACTAAACTACAGACTAGACTATAGACTAGACTATAGACTAGACTAGACTATAGACTAGACTATAGAATAGACTATAGACTAGACTATAGACTAGACTATAGACTAGACTATAGACTAGACTATAGACTAGACTATAGACTATACTATAGACTAGACTATAGACTAGACTATAGACTAGACTATAGACTAGACTATAGACTAGACTATAGACTATACTCTAAACTAGACTATAGACTAGACTATAATCTAAACTTTGGAGTAGACTATAGACTAGACTATAGACTAGACTAGACTATAGACTAGACTACAGACTAGACTATAGGCTAGACTATAGACTAGACTATAGACCAGACTATAGACTAAAGAAAGGTCTATGGACTACTACTTATTTGGACTACTTATCGAAAAGTTATGCATATTATTAAAAAAGTACTAAAGTATTGTATTTTCCATTCCTGATTTCTGTTAAAAAATTAAATTTTCTAAATATTAAATCGCATTTGCTTTTAAATTTTGTCGATGATTTGTTAAAAAATCTTTTATTTTCTTTCTTTCTTTTTTTTGCCACTCATTTGATTAGTTCACGAAATAAATCATGTATTTACTCATGAAAGCAAAAAAAGAAATCAAAGAAAGAAAGAAAAAAAAGAAATTGAAACATAAAAATAACAACAACAACAACAACAAAACGAGAATTATATTATATGTCTGGCTGGTAATGTGATTATAAACGTTATCGATATGCAGCTACCATATAACAGCATACACAGAGACAATCCCTTTTTTGTTGCCCAAAAAAAAAAGTGATAAAAAGTATAGCATATATTTGGGGGAAAAATAGAGAGATGAGTTGAAATGTATACAAATAAATAAACCAGGACTTACGCACCCTTAAAAATAGTGACAACAATGTCTAAAACGTTGGACAAATGAAAATGACTTTACACACACAGAGTCTAGTTTGGAACGTTTTTAGTCAGTAGTCTCTAGTCTAGCTCTTGTTATTTGGCTCGGCCACTTACACGTCACTTAATCGAATTAACATCAAAAACATGGCGTCAAACATAAAGGAGAGAGATAGGGAGGGTGGTTAGAAGAGCAAAAGATTGTGTGTGTTTGTCAGGAGTTAGATATCCGTTTATGGTCAGTGTGATTTGTTTTTTTTTTTTTTTTCCTTACAGATTTCTTTTGAAAGGGGATTTTTAGGATTTTATCTATTATTTTTTTAACATTGAAAAAAGTAAGGAAATATCCCCAAAATTTGTGATAATTTTGGGGAAAATATATTGAGGTTATGTTCACTGACTGTTTGGTTTAACAGCATAAGCCAAATGTGGCGTGGTAACAAAAGTATTTCTTATCTAACAAAAGTTTGTTGGAAAAAAGTTGTGAATTTCAAAATATTAATTGATTTTTTTCTTCTTTTCATTTCTTTTTAGATATGAACAAGGGTTCACCTATTGATTATAAAAGTGGCTCGGCTTGTTCGACACCCACCAAGGATACATTAAAAGGTTACGAACGTTCGGCTAATAATTGTTTGGGTCCAGTGCTTCCGCCCCGCAGTGTTATGAGCGGCATACCTTCCCATCATTATTCGGCACCCATGAATTTTCGCAAAGATTTAGCTGCACGCTGTTCGGCTAAATGTGTGGCCATTGTAGCGGTATCGGTATTTGTGGCCATGTGTGTTTTGTTAATATTTTTAACAGGTATTTGCAACAAAAAAAAAAAAAAACTCATTTCCCTATAAAAATATTTATATAAAATTTCTTTCTTCTAAAGGATTTGGTGTTCTTCATTGGTCTCCCTCTGCCCCATGTACAGTTCTAGTCGGCAATGAGGCCTCTGAGGTAACCGCCGCCAAAAGTACTAATACCGATCTCTCGAAATTGCACAATTCCTCGTTACGCTCAAAAACCGGACAATCCACCATGGTAACAACGGCCACCTCTTCGCTGTCTTCCTCACAGGCGGCAGCTTCTTCATCAGCATTTCAGTCTACCTCTGCCTCTTCAGTGGCTGTGGGTGGTTCAGCGGTGGCTACTTCATTGTCATCGTCCTCCTCTTCGATATCGTTGTCTTCATCGACTTCGCTGTCATCACCATTGGCAAATGCCAATAATGGAGGTAATTATTCACAAGTTTTAATTATTTTTAAATGAGTTCTATACACAAAAGCAAAAGAGACGAATAAGAGAAAACAACAACCAGGACTGCATGAAAATTCTTTTTGTTTTTTCAAGTAAACAACAAAATTCTTCTTGTACACAGTTTCTTATAACAAAGTTTTTGTATTTTGCTTTCTTCGACTTATCCTCTTCCTCACCTTTAAAAACAAAAACTAAAATTACAGCTAAAGAAATAAACAAACCATACAAAAATAGTTGACAATATAACTGTCATTACATGATTAAGTTTTTTACAATTTAAAGAGAGAATTTCCAAACAATTTAATGAAGTTTTAATAGATTAACTTTGGCTAGTTCTATTTTAGTTCTATTTTTCCAGTTCAGTTCTAGTTCAGTTCTAGTTCAGTTCTAGTTCAGTTCTAGTTCTAGTTCTGTTCTAGTTCTGTTCTAGTTCTAGTTCAGTTCTAGTTCAGTTCTAGTTCAGTTCTAGTTCAGTTCTAGTTCAGTTCTAGTTCTAGTTCTGTTCTAGTTCTGTTCTAGTTCTAGTTCTGTTCTAGTTCTGTTCTAGTTCTGTTCTAGTTCTGTTCTAGTTCTGTTCTAGTTCTGTTCTAGTTCTGTTCTAGTTCTGTTCTAGTTCTATTCTAGTTCAGTTCTAGTTCAGTTCTAGTTCAGTTCTAGTTCAGTTCTAGTTCTGTTCTAGTTCTGTTCTAGTTCTGTTCTAGTTCCGTTCTAGTTCTGTTCTAGTTCAGTTCTAGTTCAGTTCTTGTTCAGTTCTAGTTCAGTTCTAGTTCAGTTCTAGTTCAGTTCTAGTTCAGTTCTAGTTCAGTTCTAGTTCAGTTCTAGTTCAGTTCTAGTTCAGTTCTAGTTCAGTTCTAGTTCTAGTTCTGTTCTAGTTCTGTTCTAGTTCAGTTCTAGTTCAGTTCTAGTTCAGTTCTAGTTCAGTTCTAGTTCAGTTCTAGTTCAGTTCTAGTTCTAGTTCTGTTCTAGTTCTGTTTTAGTTCTGTTCTAGTTCTGTTCTAGTTCAGTTCTAGTTCAGTTCTAGTTCTGTTCTAGTTCTGTTCTAGTTCTGTTCTAGTTCTGTTCTAGTTCTGTTCTAGTTCTGTTCTAGTTCTGTTCTAGTTCTGTTCTAGTTCTGTTCTAGTTCTGTTCTAGTTCTGTTCTAGTTCTGTTCTAGTTCTGTTCTAGTTCTGTTCTAGTTCTGTTCTAGTTCTAGTTCTGTTCTAGTTCTGTTCTAGTTCTGTTCTAGTTCTAGTTCAGTTCTAGTTCAGTTCTAGTTCAGTTCTAGTTCAGTTCTAGTTCAGTTCTAGTTCTAGTTCTGTTCTAGTTCTGTTCTAGTTCTAGTTCAGTTCTAGTTCAGTTCTAGTTCAGTTCTAGTTCAGTTCTAGTTCAGTTCTAGTTCTAGTTCTGTTCTAGTTCTGTTCTAGTTCTAGTTCTGTTCTAGTTCTGTTCTAGTTCTGTTCTAGTTCTGTTCTAGTTCTGTTCTAGTTCTGTTCTAGTTCTGTTCTAGTTCTGTTCTAGTTCTATTCTAGTTCAGTTCTAGTTCAGTTCTAGTTCAGTTCTAGTTCAGTTCTAGTTCAGTTCTAGTTCTGTTCTAGTTCTGTTCTAGTTCTGTTCTAGTTCTGTTCTAGTTCCGTTCTAGTTCTGTTCTAGTTCAGTTCTAGTTCAGTTCTTGTTCAGTTCTAGTTCAGTTCTAGTTCAGTTCTAGTTCAGTTCTAGTTCAGTTCTAGTTCAGTTCTAGTTCAGTTCTAGTTCAGTTCTAGTTCAGTTCTAGTTCTAGTTCTGTTCTAGTTCTGTTCTAGTTCAGTTCTAGTTCAGTTCTAGTTCAGTTCTAGTTCAGTTCTAGTTCAGTTCTAGTTCTAGTTCTAGTTCTGTTCTAGTTCTGTTTTAGTTCTGTTCTAGTTCTGTTCTAGTTCAGTTCTAGTTCAGTTCTAGTTCTGTTCTAGTTCTGTTCTAGTTCTGTTCTAGTTCTGTTCTAGTTCTGTTCTAGTTCTGTTCTAGTTCTGTTCTAGTTCTGTTCTAGTTCTGTTCTAGTTCTGTTCTAGTTCTGTTCTAGTTCTGTTCTAGTTCTGTTCTAGTTCTGTTCTAGTTCTGTTCTAGTTCTAGTTCTGTTCTAGTTCTGTTCTAGTTCTGTTCTAGTTCTGTTCTAGTTCTGTTCTAGTTCTAGTTCTGTTCTAGTTCTGTTCTAGTTCTGTTCTAGTTCTGTTCTAGTTCTGTTCTAGTTCTGTTCTAGTTGAGTTCTAGTTCAGTTCTAGCTCAGTTAAATTAAAGGAAAATGATTAGATTTTCCCTTATTATTTAATTGGTTTCCTTTAAGATTTTCAAAGTAATTAAATCACTTTTAAAATATTCTAGTATTCTCAAATGTTAACTCTCATTTTGTGTAAAATAATCAAATTATAAACACATTTTTTACGCATAATTAAAGCGTGAAACCTAAAACTTTTTAATGCCATCTTTCTTCGTACTCCACCCACACCCTCCCCCTTAAGTAAACATCAAAATACAGTAAAATAAAACTACCCTATTTTACAACAGAATTTAGTTCTTAAGGAATAACTTAAAGTACTTTAGGTCTACAAATATTTATAAATTAAGAACAATTTTAGAAAACTGAAAATTTATTTTACTTATATTGTAAAAAAAAAAATAGTTCAGTCGAGAATTTCACAAATGGCGTTCAATAATTGGTATGCTCCGGACCGACAAAGGCGGCCTTCTTCTTATTCTAATATTAAAACAAAAATTGGTACACGCTTTAAACGCAGTTTGTTGGAGGAAAATCTTAATCTTAAAATTAATGATGAAAAGATAATGACAACAACAGATAACGAAGTAATTTTACAACAACAACAAACTACCAACTCTATTAGTGACAATGATGTTGAAAATGATAAAGAAGTTTTAAAGGTAAATCCACGGGATAAAGAAGAGGGATTTTTAGTAAAAAGTAATTATGACGAGTTTGGAAACTTAGCAACTACAACAGATGAAAGTTTTGCCTCCACCACCAAAGGATTTTTAGAAAATGAAGAGACGTCTACTTTAAAGGAAGATAAATTTACAAAGACAACAGCTATAGTGTCTTTAGAACATAATGAAGATGTTAATGATGATGATGACGAGGATGATAAAACTTTAAAAATCAATAACATATTAAAACGCAATCAAAGTAATAATATTAATAAAGAAAATAATAAAGAACAAGAGACGCAAAAGCCGAATAAGGAAAATGTGGCTACTCCTGTTTTTACTGTAGAGAAAGTGGAAGAGTTAGATGAATTGGAAACCACCACAAAAATGTATACAATATTTGAAAATTATAATTATGATGAAGAAGAAGATTTTCAATTAACTTTAGAAAAAAGTAATAAAAATTCATTTAAAATTCTAACTAAAGATAACAAAGACGATTCTATACTCCCAGCTTTGGTGGTAGAGAGTGAAAATGACAAGCAAAATGTCAACAAACAAGAGCTAAATAATAAATCTCTACAAAATGACAATAAACATAATAATAATGATGATAAAAATAAAAATGATTATGAAAAGGAAGACCAGGAAACTTTACAAATCAATGATTTTAAGTTAAAAGAAAATGATGAAATGTCTGTTAAAGAATCTAATTTAAAAGACATTTATGATGACAGTTATTTATCTGTCAAGTATCAAGAAAAAAATCCTTATGACCAAGAAAATGATAACAACCAAAAAGAAGAAGAATCTTGGGAAAATTTAATGTTAAATGATGGTTTAATGCTACAGCAACAACAACAATTTGAGGAAATAAATTATAATCATAATTTAGATGATATAGATATAGTCAAACTAGAGCAGACTCACTCCAATGAGGAGGAACTTTATAAAACAATAAATAATACCAATAACAATAAGTCCAAAGAAAAACAAAAAGCCAAGAAAAAATTTCAATTAAACACCGCCCAATATGATAAACAAGAAAATGAAGTTTTACGCAATGAAGAAGCAGAATTAATACTTAATAATCCTTTATATGAAAAACCTATAACCTCTGCACCTCCTTCTTCGCACACTCAGCAGGAAAGCCAGATTCCTGAACATAAGATACATATAAATAATGATGATGTACAAGATAAACGTATAATAGTGAATCTAACTATAGCTTCCAATGATGGTTCCGGTAATGTTTATACTTTACATGTTGACATACCGGCCTTTGATCAAAAGGGTCAGGTGAAAAATATGCAACAGATTTTGACTCATGAGAAATTAAACAAAAAGCAAGAAGAATTACAAGATGTAAAAGTAAAAGAAACCGAAAAATCTTCTCCTACTACAACAACAACTGCACAACCTGCGCCAGAACCTTTTAAATTTAGTCCTTATTGTATACCAGAACCACCGCCTCCCATACCAGAATGTCCCTGTGCTTGTGGTTTATATGGGGAAATCACAACAAGTTCTACAACTTTAGACAATGAACCTGACCTAGAACTAGACTCTACTAAAGACGACTGGTTCTCTTCTTCTACTACTACTACTACTACCATCTCTACTGAAACTTCATCAACTATAACTAATATTTACACTGAAAACCCCAACATTTTAACTAATGTGAATGCTAGTGATGATTTTGTTATCGATAATAATAATAATAATAGTGATGTTACTACTACCACTGCCAGCTCTAATATGTTTGATTTTGTTACTGATAATGATAATGATTTTGTCACTAATAACAATAATAATACTATTGTGAATGTTTTAAATGAAACTAATGATAATGGTGAAAAGTTTGCATGTCCCGATGTTATGCCTATTCTAATACTTGAAGGTGATTTGTCTTATCTTTCTTAAATATTCTATTTAAAATAACCAACAAAACTAATAAAAACTAACTTTTAAAATAAAAAATATTAATAAATTAACAAATAAATTTCATATGCATTATGAAAATTTCCATAATAAATTTATAAATTACATTTTTTCACATATTTTAATTGCTTTTATTAATATATCATTTGAAACCTTAACAGTGTATTTAATAATTTAATTTTTAAGTTATCATTATATACATAACATATATTTAATTTTTGTTAACATTTATCATTACTGCTTTCAAATTATTAGTATTGGCTTTAAAAAAACATCAAAATTTTTCATCAAACTTTTCAAAATTCAACATTTAATCATGAAATAATCATTAAATAATAAAAATTTTATAATTTAAACAACAAATTACAAATAACAGCTAAATAATAAATTTAATTAAAAAATTCTGAAACCAAAATTGTAAAATTTTCCGAACCATAATTGAAAATGTTTAACATAACCTCAAAAATTTTATTTCATTTAGAAAAAATCTCTGAAATTCAGTTGTAGTTCAGTTCTAGTTGAATTCCAGTTCAGTTCTAGTTCAGTTCTAGTTCAGTTCTAGTTCAGTTCTAGTTCAGTTCTATTTCAGTTCTAGTTCAGTTCTAGTTCAGTTCTAGTTCAGTTCTAGTTCAGTTCTAGTTTAGTTCTAGTTCAGTTCTAGATCAGTTCTAGTTCAGTTCTAGTTCAGTTCTAGTTCAGTTCTAGTTCAGTTCTAGTTCAGTTCTAGTTCAGTTCTAGTTCAGTTCTAGTTCAATACTAGTTCAGTTATAGTTTAGTTCTAGTTCAGTTCTAGTTCAGTTCTAGTTTAGTTCTAGTTCAGTTCTAGTTCAGTTCTAGTTCAGTTCTAGTTCAGTTCTAGTTCAGTTCTAGTTCAGTTCTAGTTCAGTTCTAGTTCAGTTCTAGTTCAGTTCTAATTCAGTTCTAATCCAGTTCTAATTCAGTTCTAATCCAGTTCTAGTTCAGCTCTAATTTACATCTAGTTCAGTTCTAATCTACATCTAGTTCAGTTCTAGTTTACAGTTCAGTTCTAGTTCAACAATTGCAAATAAAAACAAATTTAAAAATCGTTTTATTGTCATCTCTAATTAAATGTAAATAAACAAAAACGTAACAATAACAAGCTCTATCAACTAAACGTCAAGTTAACAAACCCATATTAACAAAACAAATCAAAACTATATTCAAACTTAACCTAAAATTTCAACAAAATTAAAAATACTCTCAGAATCTCTGTACAAAAACTCTCATTTAATTTTTAAATATTTTTAACTCTAGCTATTATTTTCCAAAAAAAATTTTAAAGCCAAACTAACCCTTTATATAAAATTTTTTGTGTTTTTTCTTTGTGCTTCATTTTGGGAAAATCTGCAATTTTAAACCCTATAATAACAAAAATAGGTGCTCGTACATTCCCTGCCCGTAGTTTTCCGCCAGATGGTACAACTTTTGGTCAAATTACTTTAGGACAAAAGTTAACCAAAGAAATCCAACCCTACAGTTATTGGAATATGCAATTCTATCAATCGGAACCGGCCTATGTGAAATTTGATTATACCATACCGAGAGGAGCCTCAATAGGTGTTTATGGCCGACGTAATGCTTTACCCACACATACACAATATCATTTTAAGGAGGTTTTAAGTGGTTTTAGTGCCAGTACTAGATCTACTAGAGCGGCCCATGTAAGTATTTTTGGATTTTTTAACAATTAAAAAGGTATTAAGGGTTTTACAGGGATTTATTTGATAAAAGCTGAATTATATACTAAACCCCCTTGCTTTATTAACCTAATAAATGTGTGTTTTTGTCTTTTTTTATATATTTTCATGCTTTACTCCACACAACACCTAAACATTTTTATCATTTCATTTCGAAACACTATCCATAACCTCAAAACTCAACTTCATACTACACTTCATATTACCACTACTACTACTACTACCAATAAAACAAAACCGGACTGTAGCAATCGATAACACGTGAAGTTACCCGTTATATGGAACCAGGACATTGGTTTGTTTCCCTCTACAATGATGATGGTGATGTTCAAGAAATCACTTTTTATGCCACTATTGCCGAAGATATGACACAAAATTGCCCGAATGGTTGTTCGGGTAATGGACAATGTTTACTAGGACATTGTCAATGTAATCCCGGTTTTGGTGGTGATGATTGTAGTGAAAGTGTTTGTCCTGTTCTATGTTCTCAGCATGGTGAATATATAAATGGTGAATGTATATGTAATCCAGGATGGAAGGGTAAAGAATGTTCGCTACGTCATGATGAATGTGAAGTGGCCGATTGTAATGGTCATGGTCATTGTGTTAGTGGAAAATGTCAATGTATGCGTGGTTATAAGGGAAAATTCTGTGAAGAAGGTAAATTTACATGTGTGAAATGAGAGATCATTTTTTTCGTTTCTTTTAAAAGAAGTTTGTTATGTGACAATTTCGATTATTGTTTGTTTATGTTATCGTCAAGAAATAATTGTAAAGTGTCATCTCTATTAAAAGGGTATTTTTTTAAACACTTTTCTAATGGAAAAGTGTCTTCTTTACACTCTTTTCTAATAGGAAATTGTCTTCATTCGACTCCTTTTTAATTGAGAGAGTTCTCTTAAGTCATCTCTAGAATCTTTTCTAAAAGAAAAATATCTTCTTCAAATGACTAAAGAGTGTCTTCTTTAAACTCTTTTGATTAAAATTCTAATTTCCTTTTGTATAATCTATCTTCCTCAGTCGATTGTCCACATCCCACTTGTTCTGGTCATGGTTTCTGTGCTGAAGGTACTTGTATCTGTAAGAAAGGCTGGAAAGGACCCGATTGTGCAACTATGGATCAAGATGCTCTACAATGTTTACCCGATTGTTCAGGACATGGTACTTTCGATTTGGATTCACAAACCTGTAGCTGTGAATCGAAATGGAGTGGTGATGATTGTTCCAAAGAACTTTGCGATCTAGATTGTGGTCAACATGGACGTTGTGTGGGTGATGCCTGTACCTGTGACGAAGGTTGGGGTGGTGAATACTGTAATACGAAACTATGCGATTCACGTTGTAATGAACATGGTCAATGTAAAAATGGTACTTGTTTGTGTGTGACCGGTTGGAATGGTAAACACTGTACCATAGAAGGTTGTCCCAATTCCTGTTCGGGTCATGGTCAATGTCGTGTTAGCGGCGAAGGTCAGTGGGAATGTCGCTGTTATGAAGGCTGGGATGGTGCTGATTGTGGTATCGCCTTAGAATTGAATTGTGGTGATAGCAAAGATAATGATAAGGGTAAGAGAGTTAAAGCAAATTCTATATATTTTTGATTTTTAATAAACAAATTATTTCTTTTAACAGATGGCTTAGTGGACTGTGAAGATCCCGAGTGTTGTGCCAGTCATGTTTGCAAAACTTCTCAATTGTGTGTCTCGGCACCCAAACCCATAGATGTTTTATTGCGCAAACAGCCTCCGGCTATTACTGCTTCATTCTTTGAACGCATGAAATTCTTAATAGATGAAAGTAGTTTACAAAATTATGCCAAATTAGAAACGTTTAATGAGAGGTAAGTTTTAAATTGGTAGCTGGCTTTTGTCAAATTATGTTTAATTTATTTTAATTTTGGATTAAAAAGAAAAAAACTGAATTGGGTTTAATGTTAAGATGAAACAAAATTGTTTGATTAATAAAGAAATTTGGATTAAAATATTGAAACTTTTAAAAGGAATAGGAAAACGCCTTCTTTAGACACTAAAATAATAGAAGAAAAGGGTCTTACCCAATAAATCTAGTTTAATAGAAAATAATCTCATTTAACTCCAGTCTAAAAAGTATCTTCTTTAGTATCTTAACTAATAGAAAGTAGATTTTAAACTAATTATTAGACAAGTTTCTTCTTTTTATTCAAATCTAATAGAAAACGTTTAAAATATAAATCCTCTAGAATATAAGCTTTCTAGTTCAGTTCTAGTTCAGTTTTAATTCGGTTCTAGTTCATTTCAGTTCTAGTTCAGTTTTAATTCAGTTCTAGTTCAGTTCTAGTTCAGTTCTAGTTCAGTTCTAGTTCAGTTCTAGTTCAGTTCTAGTTCAGTTCTACTTCAGTTCTAGTTCAGTTCTAGCTCAGTTCTAGTTCAGTTCTAGTTCAGTTCTAGTTAAGTTCTAGTTCAATTCTAGTTCAGTTCTAGTTCAGTTCTAGTTCAGTTCTAGTTCAGTTCTAGTTCAGTTCTAGTTCTAGTTCAGTTCTAGTTCAGTTCTAGTTCAGTTCTAGTTCAGTTCTAGTTCAGTTCTAGTTCAGTTCTAGTTCAGTTCTAGTTCAGTTCTAGTTCAGTTTTAGTTCAGTTCTAGTTCAGTTCCAGTTCAGTTCTAGTTCAGTTCTAGTTCAGTTCTAGTTCAGTTCTAGTTCAGTTCTAGTTCAGTTCTAGTTCAGTTCTAGTTCAGTTCTAGTTCAGATTTAGTTCAGTTCTAGTTCAGTTCCAGTTCAGTTCTAGTTCAGTTCTAGTTCAGTTCTAGTTCAGTTCTAGTTCAGTTCTAGTTCAGTTCTAGTTCAGTTCTAGTTCAGTTCTAGTTCAATTCTTAGTTCAGTTTTAGCTCAGTTCTAGTTCAGTTTTAGTTCAGTTCTAGTTCAGTACTAGTTCAGTTCTAGTTTCAGTTCTAGTTCAGTTCTAGTTCAGTTCTAGTTCAGTTCTAGTTCAGTTCTAGTTCAGTTCTAGTTCAGTTCTAGTTTAGTTCTAGTTCAGTTCTAGTTCAGTTCTAGTTCAGTTCTTGTTCAGTTCTAGTTCAGTTCTAGTTCAGTTCTAGTTCAGTTCTTGTTCAGTTCTAGTTCAGTTCTAGTTCAGTTCTAGTTCAGTTCTAGTTCAGTTCTAGTTCAGTTCTAGTTCAGTTCTAGTTCAGTTCTAGTTCAGCTCTAGTTCAGTATTAGTTCACTTCTAGTTCAGTTCTAGTTCAGTTCTAGTTCAGTTCTAGTTCAGTTCTAGTTCAGTTCTAGTTCAGTTCTAGTTCAGTTCTAGTTCAGTTCTAGTTCAGTTCTAGTTCATTTCTAGTTCAGTTCTAGTTCAGTTCTAGTTCAGTTCTAGTCAGTTCTAGTTCTAGTTCAGTTCTAGTTCAGTTCTAGTTCAGTTCTAGTTCAGTTCTAGTTCAGTTCTAGTTCAGTTCTAGTTCAGTTCTAGTTCAGTTCTAGTTCAGTTCTAGTTCAGTTCTAGTTCAGTTCTAGTTCAGTTCTAGTTCAGTTCTAGTTTCAGTTCTAGTTCAGTTCTAGTTCAGTTCTAGTCAGTTCTAGTTCAGTTCTAGTTCAGTTCTAGTTCAGTTCTAGTTCAGTTCTAGTTCAGTTCTAGTTCAGTTCTAGTTCAGTTCTAGTTCAGTTCTAGTTCAGTTCTAGTTCAGTTCTAGTTCAGTTTTAGTTCAGTTCTAGTGCAGTTCTAGTTCAGTTTTAGTTCACTTTTAGTTCACTTTTAGTTCAGTTCTAGTTCAGTTTTAGTTCAGTTCTAGTTCAGTTCTAGTTTAGTTTTAGTTCACTTCTAGTTCAGTTCTACTTCAGTTCTAGTTCAGTTCAAGTTCAATTCTAGTTCAATTCTAGTTCAGATCTAGTTCCAGTTCGGTTCTAGTTTAATTCTTCTTCAACTCTCGATTTCAAATTTAATCAAATTTCTTTTTAAAAAAGTTTCAATATTTATCCTCTGATTTAAAAGAAAAGCTTTTTGATGAAAGCTTCATGCTGTTTGTTTTATAACAATATATTTAAAAGAAAAACTAACTAGTTTGCAATATTAATTTATGTTTAATGTTTTATTTTTAGTTTTAATTATTTGTTTTAAGTTTTGTGACCCTGTCTATATATAAATCCCAAAAATCCCCTCCCAAAAAATAAACTAAATTCCCACCCATTAATTGTATATAATGTAAAAAAAAAAAAAAAAAAACTAAGAAAATGTCCTTTGTTTTAATAAAAAAAATGAAATATGTAACAAAATATTAGGCCTTTTTGGTTAAAATTTAGGGTTCATATCATGGGTTTTTTATAATTTAAATTTATTTTTTTAATTTAGTTTTTGTTAAAAAAAAAATACAAAAAAAAGAAAACAATTGCTAATGGTAACAAATTTTTTCTTTGCTCTTTTTTTCTCTCTTTCTAAACAAAAAAATAAAAAAAATAAAACGCGCGTGTGCTCTCTTTAACCAACTACGCACTACTACTTATAATCATCACAACTTTTTTATCGATTTAAAAAAAAAAACTAACTTCTCTAAAAAAAAAATAACACTTTTATCGCTAACTAACTAAAAATAACGCATTTTTGTTAAAAAAAAAAACTAACCTCTCTAAATCGAAAATCAAAAACTAACAGCATTTTTTGGAATTATTTCAATGCAAGGTAAGGATATGGACTACTACATGGAATCTAAAAAAAACTAATATTAAACGCTGGTTGTTTGGTCATTTATTATTTTTATTATTTTTTTAACATTTTCATTTTAATTTTCTTTGCTTTTCATCTTTTATTAATTATAACCATACATTTTTTATTAATTTTATAAACGTACTTAACTTTTTTTTTTTTTGTTATATTAATTAAATTTTTAATTGAATTAAAGGCCCGCTGTTATTAAAATAGGAAAACGTTTTAAAACTTTTTAAAATCTGTAAAAACTTTTTAAATCTTTAAAAATATTTGAAAAATTTTTATTTTTTATTAATTTAAGTTTTCTGTTTTGTTATATTTATTAAATATTTAATCAATTTAAAGGCCCTTTAATGTTAAAATAGGAAAACGTTAACAAAAATATTGGGTTATCTGTTGTTAAACCTTAAATGTTTTATGTTTAAATGAAAATTGTATGTGTTTTTGTATGTGTGTGTGTGTTTTCGTGAACATTTTACTTTTAGTTTTTAATTAAAAATTTTAGTTAAATTTAAGTTTTATTAGTTCAATTAAATTTTTTTGTAAAAGCTTTTTTAGTAATTTTTAGCCAACCAATCTTTAAAAGTTTAAATAATTACCCATAATTTTATATTCTTAAACTAATGTTTTACAATTTCTTTTTATCTAGCCGTTCTGCTGTTATACGAGGCCGTGTGGTTACTTCCCTAGGCATGGGTTTAGTGGGCGTACGTGTCTCTACTACTACTTTATTGGAGGGCTTTACCTTAACCCGTGATGATGGCTGGTTTGATTTAATGGTTAATGGTGGTGGTGCAGTGACTTTACAATTTGGCCGTTCTCCCTTCCGTCCTCAATCGCGTATTGTTCAAGTTCCCTGGAATGAGGTTATTATCATAGACACAGTCATCATGTCCATGTCGGAGGAGAAAAGTGTGGCTTCTACCACTCATACCTGTTTTTCTCATGATTATGATCTTATGAAACCGGTGGTGTTGGCCTCTTGGAAACATGGTTTCCAGGGTGCCTGTCCCGATCGCAGTGCTATATTGGCAGAGTCTCAGGTCATCCAAGAAAGCCTACAAATCCCTGGCACTGGTTTGAATTTGGTTTATCATTCCTCCCGTGCCGCTGGTTATCTTTCCACCATTAAGTTGCAGTTAACTCCCGAATCGATACCCTCCACCTTACATTTAATTCATTTACGCATTACCATAGAAGGTATATTGTTTGAGCGTATTTTTGAGGCCGATCCTGGCATTAAGTTCACCTATGCCTGGAATAGATTGAATATTTATCGCCAGCGTGTGTATGGTGTTACCACAGCCGTGGTAAAAGTGGGTTATCAATATACCGACTGCAAGGATATAATCTGGGATATTCAGACCACCAAGTTATCGGGTCATGATATGTCTATATCCGAGGTAGGCGGCTGGAATTTGGATATACATCATCGCTATAACTTCCATGAGGGTATTTTGCAAAAGGGTGATGGTTCTAACATATACTTAAAGAATAAACCTAGAGTTATCTTAACCACCATGGGTGATGGTCATCAGAGGCCTTTGGAGTGTATGGATTGTGAGGGCATGTCTTTGAAACAAAGACTATTAGCTCCTGTTGCTTTGGCCGCTTCTCCCGATGGCAGTTTATATGTGGGCGATTTCAATTACATACGTCGCATTATGACCGATGGTACTGTGCGCACGGTGGTGAAACTTAATGCCACACGTGTTAGCTATCGTTATCATATGGCCTTGAGTCCTTTGGATGGCACCTTGTACATCTCAGATCCCGAATCACATCAAATTATCCGAGTACGTGACACTAATGATTTCTCTCAACCCGAAAAGAATTGGGAACCTATTGTTGGTTCCGGAGAACGTTGTTTGCCTGGCGATGAAGCTCATTGTGGTGATGGTGCCTTGGCTAAAGATGCCAAATTGGCTTATCCTAAGGGTATAGCTATATCCAGTGATAATATATTGTATTTCGCGGATGGCACTAACATACGCATGGTGGATAGAGATGGTATAGTTAGCACCTTAATAGGCAACCACATGCATAAGTCCCACTGGAAACCCATACCCTGTGAGGGCACCTTGAAACTAGAAGAAATGCATTTACGTTGGCCCACCGAATTGGCGGTTAGTCCTTTGGATAATACTCTACATATCATAGATGATCATATGATATTGCGCATGACTCCTGATGGTCGAGTTCGAGTTATTTCCGGACGTCCTTTGCACTGCGCCACATCCTCCTCTGTATATGATTCAGATCTGGCTACCCATGCTACTCTGGTAATGCCTCAATCCATAGCTTTTGGTCCCCTAGGCGAGCTGTATGTGGCAGAAAGTGATTCTCAGCGCATCAATCGTGTTCGTGTTATAGGCACCAATGGTCGCATTTCCGCCTTTGCTGGAGCTGAATCGAAATGTAATTGTTTAGAGCGTGGCTGTGATTGTTTTGAAGCTGATCATTATCTAGCCACCAGTGCCAAGTTTAATACCATTGCCGCTTTAGCTGTTACCCCTGATGGTCATGTTCATATAGCCGATCAAGCCAATTATCGCATACGTTCCGTCATGTCCAGCATACCCGAGGCCAGCATGTCTCGTGAGTATGAGATATATGCTCCTGATATGCAAGAAATCTATATCTTCAATCGTTTTGGTCAACATGTCATGACCAAGAACATTTTGACCGGCGAGACCACTTATGTCTTTACCTATAATGTCAATACCTCCAATGGCAAATTGAGTACAGTGACCGATGCTGCCGGTAATAAGGTATTCCTGTTGCGTGATTATACCTCCCAAGTCAACTCCATAGAAAACACTAAAGGCCAAAAATGCCGTTTGAGAATGACTCGCATGAAAATGTTGCATGAGTTGAATACTCCCGATAACTACAATGTCACTTTTGAGTATCATGGACCTACCGGTTTGCTAAAAACTAAATTAGATTCTACTGGTCGTTCCTATGTCTACAACTATGATGAATTTGGTCGCTTAACTTCGGCCGTTACTCCTACTGGTCGTGTTATCGACTTAGCTTTCGATTTAAGTATCAAGGGAGCTCAGGTCAAGGTTTCGGAAAATGCCCAAAAAGAAATCTCCATGTTAATCCAAGGCTCTTCAGTGGTGGTGCGTAATGGTGAGGCTGAATCCAAGACCATGGTAGAAATGGATGGTTCTACTACCAGTTTAACTCCTTGGGGTCATTTGCTGCAAATGGAGGTGGTGCCCTATCCAATATTGGCTGAAATTTCCCCTATAATAGGAGAATCCTATCCAGTGCCCGCTAAACAACGTACTGAAATTTCCGGCGATTTGGCTAATCGTTTTGAATGGCGTTATTTCGTCCGAAGATTGCAACAAGGCAAACAGAATAAGGGTCCCAGATCTGTGACACAAGTGGGACGTAAATTACGCGTTAATGGTGATAATGTTTTGACTCTAGAATATGATCGTGATACCCAATCTATAGTGGTAATGGTAGATGATAAACAAGAGCTGTTAAATGTAACCTATGATCGCACCTCACGCCCTGTTAGTTTCCGTCCTCAGTCTGGGGATTATGCCGATGTTGATTTGGAATATGATCGTTTTGGCCGTTTGGTTACCTGGAAATGGGGTAATCTACAAGAAGCCTATACTTTTGATCGTAATGGTCGTTTGAATGAGATCAAATACGGTGATGGCTCCTCCATGGTTTATGCTTTTAAGGATAATTATGGTTCTTTGCCTTTGAAGGTGACAACGCCCAGAAGATCCGATTATCTTCTACAATATGATGATGCAGGCGCCTTACAGAGTCTAACAACACCTAGGGGTCATATACACTCTTTCTCGCTGCAGACATCTTTGGGTTTCTTCAAATACCAATATTTCTCACCCATTAATCGTCATCCCTTTGAAATACTCTACAATGATGAGGGTCAAATCTTGGCTAAAATACATCCTCATCAATCGGGTAAGGTTGCTTCGTGCACGACAACTCAGGACGTTTGGAAACTATATTGGCTGGTTTGTCTAGCACCCATTACACCTATCAAGAAACTACTAGTTTAGTGAAATCCGTAGAGGTTCAAGAACCCGGTTTTGAATTACGTCGTGAGTTTAAATATCATGCTGGTATATTAAAAGACGAGAAATTACGCTTTGGCTCCAAGAACTCTTTAGCCTCCGCCCACTACAAATATGCCTATGATGGTAATGCCCGTTTGACAGGAGTCGAAATGTCTATAGATGATAAAGAAATGCCTACTACACGCTACAAGTTTAGTCAAAATCTAGGCCAACTAGAGGTGGTACAAGATTTGAAAATAACACGCAATGCTTTCAATCGTACCGTCATACAAGATTCCTCCAAACAATTCTTTACCATTATCGATTATGATCAACATGGTCGGGTGAAGAGTGTTTTAATGAATATCAAAAGTTTTGATGTTTTCCGTTTGGAGTTGGACTATGATCTGCGTAATCGTATTAAATCACAGAAAACTACTTTTGGTCGCTCAACGGCTTTTGATAAAATCAACTATAATGCTGATGGTCATGTGATTGAGGTTTTGGGTACCAATAACTGGAAGTATTTGTATGATGAAAATGGCAATACTGTGGGTGTGGTAGATCAGGGAGAAAAGATCAATTTGGGTTATGATATTGGCGATCGTGTGAGTCAAGTGGGTGATATAGAGTTTAATAACTATGATGCTAGAGGTTTTGTGGTCAGAAGAGGAGAACAGAAATATCGTTATAACAATCGAGGCCAGTTGATTCATGCCTTTGAGCGTGAACGTTTCCAGACTTGGTATTACTATGATGATCGCAGTCGTTTAGTGGCCTGGCATGATAGCAAGGGTAATGTTACTCAGTATTATTATGGCAATCCCCGTTCACCTATGCTGCTTACACATATGCACTATCCCAAAACGGGCAAAACTTTGAGATTCTATTATGATGATCGTGATATGTTAATGGCGGTGGAAACAGCCGAACAAAGATATTATGTGGCTACCGATCAAAATGGTTCTCCTTTAGCCTATTTCGATATGAATGGTGCTATTCTGAAGGAAATGAAGAGAACACCATTTGGCCGTATTATTAAGGATACTAATCCTGATTTCTTTATACCCATAGACTTCCATGGTGGTTTGCTAGATCCTCATACCAAATTGGTGTATACCGAGGGACGTTTATATGATCCTACAGTGGGTCAATGGATGACTCCTTTGTGGGAGACTTTGGCTACCGAAATGTCTCATCCTACCGATGTTTTTATCTATCGCTATCACAATAATGATCCGGTTAATCCCAGTAAACAGCAAAATTACATGATTGAATTGGAGTCTTGGCTGCAATTGTTTGGTTATGACTTAAGTAACATGCAAAGTTCCAAATACACCAAAGCTTTGCAATATAATCCACAGGCCTCTATTAAATCACAAACTTTGGCTCCTGATTTTGGTGTTATATCGGGTTTGGAATGTATAGTGGAGAAAACCAATGAGAAGTTTAGTGATTTTGATTTTGTGCCCAAACCTTTGCTGAAAATGGAACCTAAAATGCGTAATCTATTGCCAAGAGTTTCATATCGAAGAGCGGTATTTGGTGAGGGTGTATTGCTATCACGCATAGGCGGTAGAGCCTTGGTTAGTGTGGTAGATGGTTCTAATAGTGTGGTGCAGGATGTGGTATCCTCAGTCTTAATAACTCCTATTTCCTGGATCTACACTTTAGCATACATGATCAAGATGTGTTCTATTTTGTTAAAGATAATGTTTTAAAATTGAGAGATGACAATGAAGAACTAAGAAGATTGGGCGGCATGTTTAACATATCAACTCATGAAATCACCGATCATGGTGGTTCAGCAGCCAAAGAATTAAGATTACATGGACCTGATGCTGTGGTTATCATCAAGTATGGCGTAGATCCTGAACAAGAAAGACATCGTATTTTGAAACATGCCCATAAAAGGGCAGTAGAAAGAGCCTGGGAGTTGGAGAAACAATTAGTAGCAGCCGGTTTCCAGGGTAGAGGAGACTGGACCGAAGAAGAGAAAGAAGAATTGGTATCACATGGTGATGTCGATGGTTGGATTGGTGTGGATATCCATAGTATATATAAATATCCCCAACTGGCCGATGATCCTGGTAATGTGGCCTTTCAAAGAGATGCTAAGCGCAAGAGAAGAAAGATCGGTCAAAACCATCGTACGGGTAAAAGCCGTAGACAACAGAGATTAAAAGATATGTCAGCGTGAAATCCAGCTGTTTATGAATCAACACAAAACGACAACGATTTACTACGACAACAACAACAACAACAACAACCACAACAATATAAACTTTACGAAATCTGGCCAGCAGACGAAGACGAAAATACAAACGAAGAGGAAGCCGTTAACGAATACGATTCCGATTACGAATACGAAAGTAATAACCCTAAAAAAGACTTGGTAAGCAACTCAACCGAAGATGACTTGTATTATTAAATAAGCTAAAAAACATACACTCAAAAAAAACAAAACATTAAATGAAATTGAATAATTAACTTTTTAAATAAGAAATTATAAGAAAAAATTTAAAAACAACATAAACTCAAAAAAAAAAAAACCCAAAAAAGTTTTCATAAACTTACACTGTTAAATTTAATTTATAAAACATAAATTTTCAAAAACCAAACAGTGTTAAAACTTAAATTTTTTGAAACATAATTTTTATAATTTTAAAAAATTTTTTAAAAATTTAATTTTTTTTAATTTAAATTTTATTTAAAATTTTTTAAAAAGATCTATAATTTTTTTTCCTCAGAAACAAAAAACACACACAAAAACAAAAAATTAAAAACTATATTATTTAAATATAGCAGGTAATTGTAAAAAAAAAAAATAAAGAAAATTATTAAATAAATCCTTAAGATTTATATAGTTTTGTATAAAAAAAAGAAGCAAATCCAAAAAAGAAAAAAACAAACAAAATCTTCTACAAAAAAAACCGAATCTCAAAACCCTAAAAATACTGAAGATTATAAAGAAATTATAAATGTTTTTTATGTAAAACAAAAACAAAATCAATGTGAGAACTTATTAAGAAAAACCTTAAATAACAAAAACAAAAATTAGCTAAAAACAACAACTAATAATTGTAATAAAACAAAAAAAAAAACATAAACAATAATTATTATTATATAAAAAATAAAACAAAAAAAATCCCCATAGTTATATTACAAAATCTTAAAAATTGTATATTTAAGTTCTAAAAACTTTTCACAAGTATTAAGAAAAAAAATAGATTTTTGCCATATAACCACAAAACCTTCATTTGTTTAATTACTTATCATTTATCTTAAACTATATAAATAATTGTAATTATTAATTTCTTAAAAAAAAAAGCTTTAAATATACTACAAAAAAATCCTCAAATATTTTTTTATAAAAAACATCACATTTTTTATTTTTTTACTGCCAAACTGTTTTATTTCAATACTCATTTAAACAAAATCAGTTTAATTTTTACCCAAAATTTCTCGAATATAAGCACCCCCCCCCCCCCCCCTATTTTCTTAATTTTGTTTTTGTTTTTTATAATTATATATCAAAATGAAAATCAAGCAAATTTTTACAAATTGTGATATACTTCTATAAATTTAATATGTCCCCCTAAATAAAACAAAAATAACAACAAAACAAAAACAACAAGCAATACATAAAAAAAACAACCTGCTTATTTATTATTAAGTTTTATTTTTTAATTATTAAATATTTTCTTTATAAATAAATAAAAGTTTTTCAGTAAAAAGAGATTTAAAAAAACACCATTAAAAAAGGGCCAAAACATTTTGCATCACTGCCTATATTAGGAGTTGACAACACTGTTCTGCACCAAAAGATGAAAAGTTTCAATATAGAATAGAAAAACTGTTCTGGGTTTGTTCTAGTTCATAACTAGTTCAGTTCTAGTTTAGTTCTAGTTCAGTTCTAGTTCAGTTCTAGTTCAGTTCTAGTTCAGTTCTAGTTCAGTTCTAGTTCAGTTCTAGTTCAGTTCTAGTTCGTTCTAGTTCAGTTCTAGTTCAGTTCTAGTTCATTTCTAGTTCAGTTCTAGTTCAGTTTCTAGTTCAGTTTCCTGTTCAGTTCTAGTTCATTTCTAGTTCAGTTTCTAGTTCAGTTATAGTTCAGTTCTAGTTCAGTTCTAGTAGTCTAGTTCTAGTTCAGTTCTAGTTCAGTTCTAGTTCAGTTCTAGTTCAGTTCTAGTTCAGTTCTAGTTCAGTTCTAGTTCAGTTCTAGTTCAGTTCTAGTTCAGTTCTAGTTCTAGTTCAGTTCTAGTTCAGTTTTAGTTAGTTCTAGTTCAGTTCTAGTTCAGTTTTAGTTCAGTTCTAGTTCAGTTCTAGTTCAGTTCTAGTTCAGTTCTAGTTCAGTTCTAGTTCAGTTCTAGTTCAGTTCTAGTTCAGTTCTAGTTCAGTTCTAGTTCAGTTCTAGTTCAGTTCTAGTTCAGTTCTAGTTCAGTTCTAGTTCAGTTCTAGTTCAGTTCTAGTTCAGTTCTAGTTCAGTTCTTCAGTTCTAGTTCAGTTCTAGTTCAGTTCTAGTTCAGTCTAGTTCTATTCTAGTTCTGTTCTAGTTCAGTTCTAGTTCTGTTCAGTTCTGTTCAGTTTGTTCTAGTTCTATTATAGTTCTGTTCTAGTTCTGTTCTAGTTCTGTTCTAGTTCTGTTCTACTTCTGTTCTAGTTCTGTTCTAGTTCTGTTCTAGTTCTGCTCTAGTTCTGTTCTAGTTCTGTTCTAGTTCTGTTCTAGTTCTGTTCTAGTTCTGTTCTAGTTCTGTTCTAGTTCTGTTCAAGTTCTGTTCTAGTTCTGTTCTAGTTCTGTTCTAGTTCTGTTCTAGTTCTGTTCTAGTTCTGTTCTAGTTCTGTTCTAGTTCTGTTCTAGTTCTGTTCTAGTTCTGTTCTAGTTCTGTTCTAGTTCTGTTCTAGTTCAGTTCTACTTCTGTTCTAGTTCTGTTCTAGTTCTGTTCTAGTTCTGTTCTAGTTCTGTTCTAGTTCTGTTCTAGTTCTGTTCTAGTTCTGTTCTAGTTCTGTTCTAGTTCTGTTCTAGTTCTGTTCTAGTTCTGTTCTAGTTCTAGTTCAGTTCTAGTTCTGTTCTAGTTCTGTTCTAATTCTATTCTAGTTCTCTTCTAGTTCTAATTCTCTTGAAGATCACATCTAAATCTGTTCCGAATCAAACTTTCTTTCAAAATAAATTCGCTTGCAATGATGTTTATTTATGTGTCGTCGTCGTCCTAATTGTGTTTGTTTCAACTTTCAATGCCGGAAAACTCTTTAAAAGCATTAAAAAGGCCTTTACTGTTAAAATCAACTTGTTAACTTAGACTTTATGCATTGACATATATTTTTTAATAAATTTATTTATTTAATTGAATATATTATCCATTTAATTTTATATAAATGCCATATATTTGTCTTATTAATTATATAATTTTGTATAATATAATATTTATTATAACAATAAAAATCCCCTTTTTATAAATAAATATTTGATAATTTCAACACAAAAACAACTGCTTCTAAAAGAAAATTTTGAAAAAAAAAAAAAACATATAATGCTCGTGCGTTTCTATATATATAAATAATATAATTTATAAATTATGTTGTTACTAATATTAGTGTTGACTAACTTAACTTAAATACGAATGAATATATATTAATAAGGACCCTGTATTATAAACACTGTTAGTTAATATAAGTCATAGTTTTAAACAACAACACAAATTGGCTTTTAAAAGCATTTCAAGAAAAAAAAACAAGATTAAATCATTTAAAAAAAAACCCTAAAAAATAGCCAATGAAAAAAACAATGGTGGTTTAGCAATTTTATTAAATAAAATTATTTAATTTTTAAGTCAAAAAAAAAAGAAAAACATTAAGAAAAACACACAAAGTTTAAGTTAAATTTAAGCAAACAAAACCCTTATAAACAAAAATAAAAATCCTTCTACTTTAAATATAAAAATAGTTTTAGTTTAAAATAAAATAAATAAATAAAAAATAATATTAAAAAAAAAACTAAAGTTGTGTAAAATTTAATAAAATCATAGGAAAGCAAAAAAAACTTTTGTTTAAAAAAAAGTTTTTAAACAAAATAATCCTTTAACCCTTGAAGTCCCTTTCAAAATCCCCCTTAAGCTTAGTATGTGTACATTATTAACAATAAAACAAATATGTGTAAAAATGCAATATTTCTTTAAT